TCTTTCCATTTATGCCTGCTACAGGTTGTAACTTCATTTCTATCGTCCGTTGTGTTGCACTGTGAAGCCTTGTACCTTGTCATGTGTCAGTATTAGATGCTTTGTAATAGTAGGGATTACACTTTGAAAAGACACCTGTGAGTTATTTACTTTGGATAAATGTTTCTTTAAACTTTGAGGGTCATGGATTTTTCTACCAGATACCAGATGCTTGGGGTTTAGGACTGAATCAAATACTGAACCTTACTTGCATAGTTGACCTCTAATGCTTGCATGTAAGAGAAATCTGAAATCTTGGACTGTGTCTGTGTACAAAGCACTGCTTTTAAAAGTCAGGTGGGAACCCTCGATGAACTGAGCAGAGTTTTCAGCTGTGAATTTGTCTGAATCTTGTACCTTAGGGTTATGTAGAATATAAACCTCTGGTGGTGGTGTTCATGGTGGGGAACGTTGATTAAACGTAATTTAGAACAAGTCCTAAAAAGGAGGGATAAATAACAGGCACTCACAGGCACTCCCTGCAATAAAGTTCTCCAGATGGTGAGGTTGATGTTGCCAAACCAGAACACAGCATTTAGCATTGAAAAAAAAGTGCTTGTCACCATAGCTACTTCGTTCTCTAAGGTTGTAGCTGAGTGATGCATGGAGGATGTTAGACAGGCCGATGCTTTATTGATATTCAAGTCACTGGCGTTTGAGATGAGGAAAAGATCTCCCGTGCCAAAGCCTTTGCTCTAACTTTGAACAAATTTTCCTTTTACTTGCATTAGTGTTATTATTAGTGGAGCCACATGAATACAAAGCAATAGAGAGAATAAAATGCACTTATTTTTACTCACAGATCAGAGGTGAACAGGAAATAAATCAGAATAAGCTAGACTTTCAAAGGTTTGCTGTGCAGTTAAATTTTGGGGTATTTATGCAAACAGGCATAGTCTTCCTGTGGGCAGATGAACATATGAGGAGCTTTGAGGTTGTTTACAGTATACTGCTCTTGAGTAAGTAATCGCTGAATGTACATGTAGGTTTATATACCTGCATATCTGAAATATTCTATGCCACCAGATGAAAATCTGGCCTTACAATGAAAGTCTTAAATACAGAAGCCTAAAGTACCTAATTGAATTCTCAGCAGCACTTAACAGTAGGGAGTTTGAGAAATACACATTGAGCAATTTTCAAAGTGGGCCATTCATGGGGCTAGATATGGATTTTAATTGTTTAGAGTATTTGGTATTTCTAATGTGCCTATCAATTAAAAAAAATCTAGTATTATATTGAAAGTTCATTTAAAAACATTACTTTGCAACTTCTTTTGGGAATTGTTGTAGAATTAATGATTCTTGATGAGTTCAGTGTTCCAGAGATAGCATTACAGATTTTTTGTTCTTCTGAAACACGTGCGCACACACGCACACACTCCCTTGATTCTGTTTTCCAAACTTTGTTTCAATTGTTAAATTATGTAATAATTTTCTCTGACTGAAGGGAAAATCAGGAAGTAAAGTGTCATTACTTCCCTGTAAATAAATAATAATGTCTGATAGCCTCAGTCAGAGACCAGATGGTTATTATATAGGGGCCTGTAAAAGCCTAATTTATGAATAAATCGATATCATGATAAATAAACCTTCGTTACTAGGGTCTGCAGATCTCAGTTAATAGAAAGACAGTAGGCAATGTACCTCCATAGCTGTAGCTTGTGGACTGGACTACTGTAGCATCCTTTCACTTCTGTGTTCTTCTTATCAAGTGCATTTTGTACATAAGCCACGGTTGGGAACCAAGTTTTCTTCAATAAATTGTGGTCATACAGCAGACATACAAAAACTAGCATTTGTGACTCCTACACAGACCCCTTCTTTCCCCTTTCTTCAGAACGTGGTCACCTCCTCCTGCTTTTGTTTTTTTTCCTGACTTTTCGGTTATTTTACATGGGGAACACGGGAACTGGCAATAGAGAATTTGCAGTATGCTTTGTGTAGATACAATTGCAATGGCCATTACAATGACAATCCCAGTAAATGGGTACTCGCATACAGTGGTTTCCACTTCACTTGAAAAATATACAGCCCCCTTCACCTGGGTTTATTTCTTTAGCCCAGCGTCAGTTATTTTTTTTTTAAATTTACGACGTATTTGTTAACTTACTGCTGTATTGTTGAAGAGACGAGGTCAAAATCACCTGAATGATAGCATCCTCCCCCTCTGTCGTCACTGGCTTTGTCACCCTGCTGCTGCCTGACATTTCTGTCTGAGGGAAGCCACGGGAATGCAGGGGGGGAAAGCCAGGCATATTGGTGGAGGCATTCGATGAATATAACCTAATTTTCAACACGGAATGTGTGGTATGAAAAACACTGCAACAGAAATAATTTATTGTCTTGAATCAAGGGTCAGAGTGAATTTAGGAGGCCTAATTGGGATGGCCGTTTGAAGCAAAGGGCATTGTTCTTTCCCTGGTCTTCAGGAGGGTGAATTGAAAACTGCTGTCACAGTTAAATATATTTCTAAAACGTAAAACAAATTTCCAAAGTAATTATACTGTTAGTAACCTTGTTATTTATAGAAGTGCAGTATCTTATAATAATATCTTGTCAGTTTGTTAGAAATAGAGAAGTATGAAACAGAATCGGGAAATACCTACTAAGTTTTGTGCAACAAAAACTGCTGTTGACTTCACTGCTTGGTATCAATGGGCATTTTCCCAAAAGCATATTGCATAAGGGACTTGGGATTTGGCTGACATTAATTATCCCTCAGATTCTGTGCTCTTTCACTACTTCTGCATCTAATGTTAATTTATGCTTGATAGATAGCATCCACAATAGGGAGTGAAGTACTACCTCAGGGGGAGTTTCACAAGACATGTGGCCCCCTGACATTCCTCTCCATGCCAAAGGGGCACATCTGCTCCTACATACCTTAAAGGGCGATGTGTTGACTCCCCTCCACAGCTCCCCAGTTCAGCTGACTGGCTGCAGATCCGGGTGGAGCCAGGGAAATATTTATTTTTCTGTTGTGACTAATGCTGCTGACCACTGCTCTTTTTTAAGTCCTTGGCGTTTTGTCTCCTGCATCGTAACACACTGAAGAGTTTCCTGCAGGCAACTTTTTCACACCTTGCACTTCCTACAATTTCTCTCGTGCTCTTCATCTCCTCCTCCAGTGTATATCTTGATGCTAAAAGGATGTCCCCATTCTTGATTCAGCACCCCTGAACATCTTCTGTTTCCTCCTGGAAGTCATTTAGGAAGAGAAAATCATATGAAAAAATCTTCCAGTGTTCTCCTACTCTGTGCTCTCATGCTTGAACAGTGTCCTCCCAACAGTCCTCAGTTCGTACTTGCCTTGTGCCACAATATTTTAAGCTTTTAGATGCACAAAATGTATCAGAATCTTCAAATAACTTTTTTTTTTCCCCGTGATGTATATGTGATTTGGGGGAATACACATGATTTATGAAAAGAATATCATTAATATGCAGTGTAGTCGCTTGGGGGGGGGAGAAATGTTTCAAGTGATTTGTGTAAATCCTTCGCATCTTTTTTTAGTTTAAAAATTTCACATCATTTATAACTTCATTTCCAAATGCTTTACGATTTAATAATTTCCATATGCCACATACAACTTTCTGAAGCTCTTCTCTAGACATTACCTAATTCATTTTAAAAATCATCTTGGAAACATTGAGCTGAATTGTTCTACATGAACCATTTATAAATAAATTTGGTGAGAGCTTTATTTTCTTTTATTCCTCTGACCAGCTCATTATCTTTATTTTGTGTACTTTTCTGCCACAATAAATGTTACTTTATGCATCACTGAGAATAGGAGTTTCTGGAGTAAAGATGAAAAGTAAAGTTAGGGGAAGGGGAAACATGTTATAGAATGTCACAGCAGATCCCACTGCGGTTGCTGTTGAAAATATCCTGCTGTAAACTTTGCTGCTTCTTTTGGTGTTTAATTTGAGGATTGATGATTCTGTCTTTGCAGACTGTAACAGAGAAGCACAAGCTAAATGTACCTGAGACAATGACTGAGGTCCTGGATGTTTCAGATGAAGAAGGTGAGCAACTTTGCTAATTCCTATTCCGTATCACTTATGTAACCTGTAATATAGGCTCAAGATAGCTGCTTGAGTACTTTGACATCTTGATTTTGCAGTGCTTGAAATGAAGTTCTATGTAATGCCCTTTTTTTAATGATGTAGTCATTATGGCATTTGCAAAAAGATGCCAAATGTTGACCCAACCCAAAAATCCTGGACCCCTACATCTTTTTCAGAAAAAGCTTATCTGAACCAAATCAATGAATGAGAACATTTCCTGACTTCAGATTTTGAAATCTAAATGTAGATTTGTCCCAAAGCTGGGTTTGACCCTCCCGTAAAGAGAAATTTGAACAGTAAATTTTTTGGATCAATGCCACCTATTTCAGATACATATATCTAGGAGTTCTGCCTAACTGGAAACATTTGTGTAAGAAGATGCATAAGGTAGAAGGTGAGGAGACTGTTCCCTTGAGGGAGCTTTTGGCACACACGAATCACGGATACGTACGGCATGACATAAAGTAACAGCATGCTAATAAGTTTGGCACTTTGGTTTCAGAGTCTGTTTTATGTACAGACAGGAGGCATATGTTGTACCTCTTAGTTAAGTCCCAAGAAAATTTCTGTGAACTTCTGGAGGGACTGATAAAGTACTGCGGTTTTATACAGCACAGAATTAAGGAAATGGCTTAAAAACATCCCTTTCTAACAGTTCACAAGTGACATCTTACAAATTTTAATCGCAATGGCATCTGATAAATATACAGGTTTGCAAGAATTTTCTAAGTTCTTTTTTACTCTTGACAGTGTTAATTAATATTACAGTATCTTACATATGCCATGTTATGGTTATTATTATTTCATGCAAATAATTTGTAGAGCGACTAATTTCAAAAAGTCCTAGGGATTTAGGAACACAGGTCACAGGGTTGGGTTTTTTCTTTTACAAAGAACAGAAATGCACTTGTGGTTCTAAATGGTCCTGGAAGCTAGTGACATTTGTGTTCCTAAACTGCTTGTATTACTTTTTGAACTGGGATTTATGCTGATAAATGAGTTACACTCTTGAGAAAATATGGCATTTAGGCTCCAGATACTACTATTTTTTTTTTTTAATGCTTGCAAAGCTGCAAGCGAAAGCAAACAAGTGTGATTCAAAAGAAATTATTTTCTGCTGCATCACGATCAGTGAAATTATTTCTCTCGGCATATTTCTGCTACGTTTTCTCTGTTTAAAAAACAGTCAACTACTTGTGTAATTACTGTGATAAATGGGCTTTAAATTGCTTATAGCCTTATGTTCACTTTGTTGAATTTTCTCCCGATTTTCTGAACTACCATTTAACCATCTTTAAATCCACAAAGCCTAGTATGTCCTGCTTCTCCAGGATTAATACAGGGTGTTCCTGTTTCTCAAACCAATTTATATATCGTACAGCCTTTAAACACTCTGATGACGAACGCTTCAGTGATGGTGAAGCATATAGTGGCACAGGTGCTGTTAGCAGCAGTTCGTGGAGTAAGACTTACAAGCTTTCTCTTTTCGTTTAACTTGGATTGTTTGGTTTATTTTTTTGTGTTGAAGCAACATGAATTTGCTTAATCTGGGTGCCTAACACTGCTCCTTTTCATTCCTTTTGAAGTGTGACTGGGCGTGTGTTTCCTGAAAGGTGGGAGGAAGAAGGGAAGCCAGAAAATCCAAGATTTTTTATTACCTGTATCTTGAATATGTTGGCAGAACGTGCTGTGGCCATCCAGCATGACTAATGCTCTCCAGTGCTTTGAATTAACATTCTCTGCTTTCTGTTACCATCTGACACCAACTGTTTGTCAACAGCCAGCAGATACCACATAGGTACTCTGGCACGTTGCTGCTCAAGGCCGAGTACCGAGCACTCATACCGACAGTGCCTCTGTGATCCTGCTGCATGGCGTAGTCTTTATAAGAGCCTAGCAATAAGGTTTCTGTAATGCTGTGTTCTTAGCTGCTTCAAAGTGACACAATATATGTTCTGAAATAAATGAACGTGACACGGTAAACCTGCCAGCTGTAATTATGTAATTATAAAGTTGAACACAAGGAGAGTACTTGAGCAGATAAGTGTTTCAGGTCCCATTGTGGAGCTTGTTCATCACTGGTGACAAGTATATTGCATTTTGCCTGGGAAGCAGTTATATAGCATAATTGTATGCTGTTATGTTGCTAATGTAGTATTCATATTCCTAAAACAAATCCAAGTGCAACATCCAGTCTTAGCAGTGTAAAATAAAGGACCATATAGTCTATCAAATAGCTTGGCTTGGTATGTAAGGTCCTGCTCTGTGCAGCCTATTTTAAAATATTTTGGTTGGACTGAGTCCCACTTATTCTTCTTTAATTTTCATACTGCATTTTTATGTTTAGCAATTGTATTATTATTCAGAATTCTTTACCTTTTACTGTACCTGAAAAAAAAAAAAATCTTTCCTTTGAACAGAACCAGATTATATTTTCTATTTAAAATTGCATTTGATTTTTTTTTTTTAAATTAGATTACTGGTTTTTAGATTATACCCGTGCCAATAACAGACTAGATGAAATTGGATTCATAAGCTTCAGTGCAAGAATCAAGGAAGGAGGGGAAAAAAGGAAACTTTATAGGCTAGCAAAAACACGATTATTGAAAAATCCTACTTCATCTGCTGTAAGCCTGTTACATGGTCCTACGTGTATCAGATCCTCTGTGGCATTGATAAGTCTTTCCTGCTTTGTGATCATCAGGGCCAAAGATGTATCAGCACAGTTTTATCAAGCAGTTTATTCATACACCGCAGAAATACGCATGTGTACGTGTGTGTTACTGCTACTTTCTCTGTTTATACTATAGTCTACCATGAAGACCATTTAAGGGTGATCATCCGTTGTTACTTGCTCAGCACTGTGCACAGTGCAGATGTAATGCAATCACTGTTTAGAAGGTGGTGACCTGATCTTGCAAAAAAGATTGCGAAGTGCTTCTCCTTAAGGATGGGTGTTACACTACGGATTCCCAGAGGCCTAGCTGTTAAGTGATGTGGTTTCTGAAACACGTATCCACGCCAGCAGAAATGCTTTGTGTGGATAGAGTTGTACTAAAAAGACCTGTACGTTTTTATCATTGTATCTGGCTTAGCTGTTTGCATTGCTGCAAAGTTTAGTTCCTCTAAAGCTGTTGGCACAAAAGAAGCGATTTGCACCTGGGGGATCCTTACAGCAGTCAAGGGCAATGACTGCAAAGCATCTTGTGAAATGTATTTTAGTGACATCTACAGAATTAGTGAAGTTAAGCAGAAGCAGATGTTTCTGTTAGGGCTGAGTCAGTGAAAATCTAGAAAAGGCAGGAACCTTTCTTTTTATTCTTCCATATGTTAATATTGTATTGAGGAGCATGTTACTGCTCCTCTGTACTCATCCCATGCGTTATTTTTGTGGCAAAAGAGCTGTACAAACTGCCAATGGTTTCTTTTTGTGACTCCCATCTGAGATAGTACAGTAAGCGTAGTGGATAGACGACACAAGACCAGCCAGTACAACAGGTTGTCGGAGAGCTCTCATTTGTGCCTGTTCGGGCCTCCT